TATCCAAGGAAGCTGCAAGCGCTGGCGGTCCAAAACGAGGCGATAGGAATCCGAAAGCGACGAGCAGCAACAACGGTGAAAGTCATGATCCCATCACCAATAATACAAGAAACCTTGGGAAGGTCATGGCTAGAATTTGAGTTGATATCTAAAATGAGATCGCAGAGTGGAGCCAAGCAGTTGTGGGAGATGGAATAGCAGAGTGAGGGCACATCTTGGGCAGCGTCGTCGCTATCAGACGATGGCATGCCATCAGGGATGGCTCTGAACTGAAAGTGGGGCAAGCGGTCTAAGGAGTTGGCGCCTTGGGATTTGAGGAGGCGGCTGTGGTTATGTTGTGTGTTGACGAAGGTTATGTGGAAGCCTTTGTGGTGAAGGAGCTTTGCGAGCTTGAGCATTGGAGTTATGTGGCCTTGGCTTGGATGTGGGACCAACATTGCATGAGGTTTTTGATTCTCTACCATACCAAATGAGCTCATCTCTCTCCTCTTCTAATTTTTTTCTTTTACTAGTTTGGGTTGAGTTTGTTTTGTTTGCATTCTTTTATAGGAGAAATTGTTCGACATGATATACGGGAGGAATTTTGTATCGTTAATGACACGACACCAAAAAGTTAAAATATGGGTAACAGTTATATATAGGTAGAGATATCTATTTAACCTGTAGACTCGGGATGGGAAACTCTATCTTAAACATGTTGAGAATTATTGGGAGGGAGTCTTACGTTCGCTAATTTAGAGGATGGTCATGGGTTTATAAATAAGTAATGCATCTCTATTGGTATGAGGCTTTTTGGAGATCCGTGATTTTTAACATGATATCAGAGTCGTGCCCTAAATCTAACCATATCAATAGAGTCCTCAAATTTCGAACAAGCTAGCCTCGAAAGAATAATTAAAATTTACTCATGTATCGAATAAAGGGTGTACTCTGTTTCAAGGTATACTCTCTGTCATTAAGTCGTTATATTCTTAAAAAGGCTTTGGAATAGAATATGGGCTACAAATGGCTCTTTTTTTTATACTCCTTCAAAAGTGAGAATTTTCTACTTCCCTTGTCTCTCCTCGCACACTTTCAAGTTTAAGTTAATATAAATAACTATAAAATTAAATTAATATGTAGGCTCCACTTCAAATCATATCGGAAATTCCCAAATAGAGATGTCTATTTAAAATCTCGGAGCAGGATAAGAAATCACAGTTTCAACTTCTCCCGGTTAGCTAATCAAGGCTGATTCTACCAAAAAGAAATTTTGATATTTAAGAACATCAAGATCGGTGCTCTCCTTGAATCACTTAAGAGGTTTATGCAGATGCACTAATCTAAACATCAAGTTCTTGATTTTATTATTGAGAGGGAAAATATTGATGATTTGCGGTGCGCAATCAGGGACAATCGCAATAGAGACCAGAAATTAAAACTTTCGAGACGTGGGCTTACAAGAATGATATACCTAGTAGAAGGTGATCCAAATTCATCCATCGTCCTATGTTCCGGATCTCTATCACTTTTCTTATGTTCTTCCTCTTCCTCGTGCTCTGACTCACTCTTCTTCTATTCTTCCTTTCTTCCTACTCAAATACCATGTTAAGAATTATGCTCTATACTATGAGAAGCTCTGATACCAGGTTAAGAATGAGAAACAAAAGTGGGATTGAAAGTTTAATCTTCATTAATCTTCACAACGTTTAAATAGAATACAAGCTACAAACTAAATCCTAGAAATAAGAAAAATCCAAACGAATTACTACTTTCTAAGCTTCTCCTCAAGGTTTTAAAACGCGTATGCTAAGGAAAGATTTTCACACCTTATAAGAAATGTTTCGTTCTCCTCTCCAACCGATGTAGGATCAGACAAACACCCTCGAGTACGTCTGATTAAGTTGACTACATGCTCCTCAAAACTCCGATAGGAACGGTGGATCTAACTAAGTTCTTTTTTAAGATTTCTTCAATTGTACAATTTAATTTGTTGATATCAACCTAACATGTTGGACCTTCATCCTATAATCATTTATCCATTCATAATATAATTTTTCTTTTATAGATCCATTCATTTAATCTTATCAAGAACATCGAATTTATCGGAATATAACATATAAAGTTTCATCGGATTATATTATTAAATTAGTATGTTTCCTTATTTCCAAAAGAATATTTATATAAAAAAAAAATTTATTTATTTATTTATTTTTTTGACATCAAACAACAGTGAGACTCACAAGATTCATCTCACCTATCCACTTTCTCCAAACATAACACACAAAAAAGGTCACATTTTTACAAGCTGTGTGACTCAACCCCCAACCTCTAACTTAAAAACTCCCTTTAATTATATGAAAATAAAAGATTTAAATGTCTATATAAATTTATAATTTAAATAATTACATTACATCGTAATATATATCACTAGTGAATACATGAACGTCAATTACTGATGTAATAATCAATTGATTTATATTTAAATTTATAATATTAACTACAATAAATGTAGTCGTATATTTTAGAGATGTTCATATGAGTCGATAGTTCGACCAATTTGGAGTACCCAATCCAAACCATAAGAATGGGTTGATTGTTTAAAAAACTAAAAATTTATTCAATTTGCAAGTTAACATTTTTTAGGTCAGGTTAATCCGACCAACCCAAAATAGGGTTGTAATCCAACTCTTTCCTACTATTTAAAAGATTAAAACTTGTCACATTCCCACTTTAATGACAGCTGACTTGCGATTGTGCAACACTCACTTCCCAGCAACAAGTGAGTTAAGTCTATTCGTTCTTGCGTCGCCTACAGCCAAGCGACATATGCTCGAGCCTCTGGCACCGATTCAAGAAGAAAGTTTTAAAAAATGGGGGCAGAGAGATTTCGAAATAGAGTTTTGAAAGCAAGATTTGAGAAATTGAAATTGGTGTTATATGTGAATGTAAGCAAAAGGCAACAACAACGGGTTACTGCATATAACTATCGGGTAGTAGGGATGAGATTTTAATTATTAATGTAACATGGGTTACGAAAAAGTATAATTTTTTTAAATGATTGGAAAAAAAAATATCAACCTAACAACCGTATGCGAAAATAGAAGATTGGGTTGCAGACTCTATTTGAGTTGATGGAGTAGCTAACTCAACCCACTCAAAAAAAAATTGATCCACCAGATTATTCCAATTCAACCCAACCCATGTACACCCTTTACATTCGGACGAATCTCATCTATTATGTCGTCTAAGTCAAGCCCATTTAAAATAAGTTTATCCAGTGATCCGTACATAGCAAATATACCTAGATGACTCAGTCGCATAGACAATAATAGCTTCACATCAATGCCTTAACTACGTGATTGAGACTTATACACCCCACTCTTCCGTATGATTTACACTTCCAGTCCTTGAGTAGGGGGGACCATTCTAAAAGGTTCTTCTTCTACCACGGAGCCCACCAAACGATGAAGAAGTTGAAACACTTGAAAAAAAAGAGCGCCTAGACGTTGAGAGCGTATGTTGTGATCGTAAAGCAAATCCCGAGTAGGGTTTAGATGGTTTGCAAGTGGCATCAGTGGGGTTGGCTTGGGTGTGCAAGTTGGAAAGCACAGCCCAAACATCTGTCCTTAAAATCTGTCACGTGAACTTTCCCTAAGTCAGGAAAACAGCTCATATCAACCAAAGTTCTTACATTGCTGCCTAATCTTTTAACTTTATCCTCAACCTCTCCTCCAATCATTCTCTCCCTCTATATATTTTTTTTATTTTATTTTATTTTATTTTATACTATTATTAAATATTTCTAAAATAATTAATAAAGAAAACCCAGCCCTAAACCCACCGACTTTTTCTTTTTTTTCATTCTTCCGATAAATTACATTTTAATCCCCGACTCGGGTCGGGTCAATTTTAATCTCGTTTATGGAGCTCTAAACATTCCATCGAGTTCTTTTTTTAATAAAAAAAAATTATATATATATATATATATTTTTTGCCTATAAATTTAGTAGTATGTGCACGTACCTTTTTATTCTGTTTAAAAATTACGAGGTTTCGTGAGTTTTTTTTTTTTTTTTTTGCTATGTAAAATATTTATAAATTTTGTACTTTCGTTTAAGAAATACTCTAAACTTTAAATTTTTAATAACACATGTAAGTTCAAATAAGACACGGTTAGATTTTGTTTTAGTTATTTTTTATTAAAAATTTTAATATTTTTTGAAAAATTAAAGAAAGTATAATTAAGTACATGGTTAAAAAATATTTTCCAACTTTTAAAACTTGCCTACTTTTCTATTTTTCATTTATAAACTAATAAATATCATTTATAAACTAATAAAGGAGGGAGTTGATTTATCAGTTATAAATAAATGATTATTGTCTGCATACTAATAGTAAAAGCATTTTAAAACTATTACCGTAAAAGTAAAGAGTATTAATGCAACTTTTATAAGTTTGCTTTGAAACCGGTATCAAATGGTTTTCGTCCATATACCCATGTTTAAAAATATCAAGAATATTAATAAGGTACACAATACTCTGTTGACATCTAAGAATTTGTCGATCTATTGGCATGACTCTGATATCATGTTAGATGAATAGACTCTCCAGTACGATATTGTCCACTTTGAGCATAAGCTTTTATGGGTTTACTTTGAGCTTCCCCAAAAGACCACTTTGAGCGTAAGCTCTCGTGACTTTGCTTTGGGCTTCCCCAAAAGACCTCAATAGAGATAGTACTTCTTGATTATAAACCTAGGATCATTTCCTAAATGAACCGAGGGGACGAAATCTGACGCTCTTCATCTTTTTCTTTAAAAAATGGAGATTTGCTTGAAGAAATTTGGTTTATTTTAATGGAAGTTGTTAATCTATAAAGTGAAAGAAGAAACAAGATGATTAATTTAAGCATTTTTCTTCACTTTTCTTCTTCCAAATTATCCATCACGGGTTGCAAAAAAGCTTGTTTTGATTCAATTTGGCGCGCTTACACGATTCCCCTATCTCTTTTCCTATAAAATAATGCACCTTCCCTGTCCATTACAGATACCCTTTTCATCTCCTTCACTCACTTCCATGGCCTCCCCGCTTCTCCAAAACAGAGCATCAATGGACTCTGTTTTTACTTTCTCCTTCTTTTTGTTTTTCTCTCTCTGTTTCTGCCGGAGCTCCGGCTATTCGGCCACGGCGTTTGCCTGCGATGCCGGAAGCAATCCGGCCGTGGCGGGGTTTGGGTTCTGTAATGGGTCGCTTGGGTTTAAGGAGAGAGTGGGGGATTTGGTGAAGCGGCTGACGCTGCCGGAGAAGATTGGATTTCTTATCAACGATGCTGGAAATGTGAGCCGGCTTGGGATTCCCAAGTATGAATGGTGGTCGGAGGCTTTGCACGGCGTCTCTTACGTCGGTCCGGGGACTAAATATTCGAATGTGGTTCCTAGCTCCACCAGCTTCCCTCAGGTCATTTTGACGGCGGCTTCCTTCAATGCTTCCCTGTTTGAAGCCATTGGAAAGGTATCACTCACATATATTGCTCCTTCTTTCTCTTTCTCTAACTCCCTATCTGGACAATGTCGGTTACCAAAATGCTCGCAAGCTTTCAATAGGATTCGAATCCCATCCGTCATAGAAAAAAGAACGAATGGATCTTGTAGGATTCCCGAGAAATTCTTCAATTTCTTTGGGAAGTGGATGATTACTGAGGAATACCCAGAAAAGCATTTAGGGAATCGATTTGATTCTATGTCTGTTCGTTCCGTTTGAAAAAAGGAAGGATCCCAAAGAATCGATCTTTAAATGACTTGGATGTTGAGGATGGTTGGTAAGGAGTTCCACGTTGGCTAATTAAGGGAGCAATTAATTATGGGTTTATAAGGAATACATCTATGTTGGTATAAGGCCTTTTGAAAAAACCCAAAGAAAAGCTACCAGAGCTTGTGCTGAAAGTGGACAATATTGTACTATTGTGGATTGTCGGGATTCCTAACATAAGTTACCCTGTTTTATATCAGCAAGATGTGCGACTCGGAATCTAAATGAAAAAGAAAAGAAAACAAATACCCACCAAGAATGAAGAACAGAATCAGTAAAATTTGAATGAAATGAAACCATTTTGACTTGTTGCTTGTGCAGGTAGTTTCAACAGAGGCAAGAGCTATGTACAATGTGGGATTAGCAGGACTTACCTATTGGTCGCCCAATGTCAACATTTTCAGAGACCCGAGATGGGGCAGAGGCCAAGAAACTCCCGGGGAGGACCCTCTGCTCTCCAGCAAGTACGCTGCTGGCTACGTTCGAGGCCTGCAGCAGCGGGACGATGGCGATCCCGACCGGCTTAAAGTTGCTGCCTGCTGCAAACACTACACTGCCTATGATTTGGATAACTGGAAAGGCACAGATCGTTATCACTTCAATGCTGTGGTAATAGCTCACTTTCAGTAACGGTCCAAGTCCACCGCTAGCAGACTTTTCTTTGCAGGCTTTTCCTTAAAGTTTTTAAAACGCGTCTGTTAGGGAGAGGTTTCCACACCCTTAAAAAGGGTGTTTTGTTCTCCTCCCCAACGGACGTGGGATCTCAATGGCCCATTTCTGATGGTTTCGTGTTTTGATTAAAGGTGACGCCGCAAGATTTGGAAGATACGTTTCAACCGCCGTTCAAGAGCTGTGTGATCGATGGCAATGTGGCTAGTGTTATGTGTTCTTACAATCAAGTTAATGGCAAACCAACCTGCGCTGATCCAGACCTCCTTGCTGGGGTTATCCGAGGCCAGTGGAAATTGAACGGGTATGTTGGTTTCTTCTCCTGTTTCTTTTCTTTCGTGTCTTTCTGCTAATGTCTTCCAATAACACTGTATAACTGCAGATACATAGTTTCGGACTGCGATTCGGTCGATGTGCTTTACAATTCACAACACTATACCAAGTCGCCCGAGGAAGCTGCAGCTAAAACTATATTGGCAGGTAAATAGTATACTATCATGTCACGACTCTCTACAACCGAAAGGTCTCGTATCAATGAAGATGTATTCCTTACTTATAAACTCATGATCATCCCCTTAATTAGTCGAAGTGGGACTCCTCTTCCAACAATCATCCCCTTGAACAAAGTACACCATAGAGCCTCCCTTAAGGCCTATGGACCCCTCAAACAACCTTCTCTGAATCGAGGCTCGACTCCTTTGGAGCCCTCAAACAAAGTACACCATTTGTTCAACACGTGAGTCACTTTTGACTACACATTCGAGATTCACAACTTATTTGTTCAGCATTTGAGGATTCTATTGACATGGTTAAGCTAAAAGTGACTACACCTTAGGAATCATGAACCCTCCACAATGATATGATATTGTCCACTTTAAGCATAAACTCCCATGGTTTTGCTGTTAGTTTCCCCAAAAGGACTCGTATTAATAAAAATGTATTCCTTATAAATCCATGAACAATCCCTCGAAGTGGGACTCCTCTCCCAACAATTCTCAACATTCTCATGCATAGAACTTGAAAAAGAATGATTCATTGAGATCGGATACTTACCCAATCGATTTAACAGGGTTGGATCTTGACTGTGGTAATTTTCTCGGGAAACATACCGAAGCAGCAGTTAAGGCGGGGCTCGTGAACGAGGCAGCCATTGATAAAGCAGTTTCAAACAATTTTCAAACATTGATGAGGTTAGGCTTCTTTGATGGCAATCCCAGCAAGCAGCTTTATGGGAAGCTTGGTCCAAAAGATGTTTGCACACCAGAGCATCAGGAGTTAGCCCGAGAAGCTGCAAGACAAGGCATAGTTTTGCTTAAAAACACCCCAAAATCTCTGCCCTTGTCTGCCTCAGCAATCAAATCTCTGGCAGTAATTGGCCCAAATGCCAATGTCACAAAAACCATGATTGGAAACTACGAGGGTACACTATTGTTTAAACTTTCATCTTCTAATCTACCCACTAACTTGATCAGCTCATTCAAAAACTGCACCCTATTTTGACATGCAGGCATACCTTGCAAATATACAACACCTTTACAAGGCCTATCAGCCGTAGTATCCACCACATATCAGCCGGGCTGCATCAATGTGGCTTGCAGCTCTGCCCAGCTAGATGAAGCAAAGAAGATAGCAGCATCAGCAGATGCCGCAGTCCTCGTAGTAGGATCGGACCAATCGATTGAAGCCGAGAGTCGAGACAGAGTCGACCTGAATCTTCCAGGAATGCAGTCAGTTCTAATCACAGAAGTGGCCAAAGCATCAAAAGGACCTGTAATTCTCATCATAATGACTGGTGGAGGCATGGATATAACATTTGCGAAGAACAATGACAAAATTACAAGCATCTTATGGGTTGGTTTCCCTGGCGAAGCTGGGGGTGCTGCCATAGCTGATGTAATCTTTGGATCCTTTAATCCATGTAAGTCTACTTCTCAACACTTTAATCATACTCCAACCATAGAATTCGCTCATTTCAAAGTGACTAACATGGGTGAAACAATTAACGGTTGAGGATGGTTGGGAGGAAGTCCTACGTTGGCTAATTTAGGGAATGATCATGGGTTTATAAGTAAAGAATACATTTCCATTGGAATGAGGCCTTTTGTGGAAGTCCGAATCAAAACCACGAGAGCTTATGTTCAAAGTGGACAATATCATACCATTGTGGAGAGTCGTGATTCCTAACATGGTATCAGAGTCGTGCCCTTAACTTAGTCATGTCAATAGAATTCTCAAATGTCGAACAAAGAAGTTGTAAGCGTCGAAGGTGTAGTCAAAAGTAACTCAAGCGTTGAACAAAGGGTGTACTTTGTTCGAGGACTCCAAAGAAGGAGTTGAGCCAGGGTAGAGGTTGTTCGAGGACTACATAGACCTCAAGGGAGGCTCTATATTGTACTTTGTTTGAGAGGAGGATTGTTGGGAGGGAGTCCCACGTTGGCTAATCTAGGGAATAATCATAGGTTTATAAGTAAGGAATACATCTCTATTGGTATAAAGTCATGAAAATTTATACTCAAAGTGGGTAATATCATATCATTGTGGAGATTCGTGATGTTTAACATTAACAACTGCAAATATGATGAGAGAAAAAAATTTCAAAACTCACAGAAGCATTTTATCAAACAGGTGGTAGACTACCCATGACTTGGTACCCACAATCATACGTAGAGAAGGTTCCAATGACGAACATGAATATGAGACCAGATCCTTCCAGTGGATATCCAGGAAGAACATACAGATTCTACACAGGGGAAACAGTATATTCATTTGGGGATGGATTAAGTTACTCAGATTACAAACATCACCTGGTCAAAGCCCCAAAGCTCGTATCGATCCCCTTGGAAGAAGGCCACATTTGCCACTCGTACAACTGCCAATCGCTCGACGTCGTCCAAGAGCGTTGCCAAAACCTGGGATTGGATGTTCATCTGAGAGTGAAGAACGTGGGGCAGAGAAGCGGAAGCCACACAGTTTTTCTGTATTCATCGCCGCCATCAATGGACAATTCACCCCAGAAATACCTTCTGGGCTTTGAAAAGGTGTCTCTGGGAGCCGGCGGAGAAACGGTAGTTCGCTTCAAAGTGGATGTTTGTAAGGATTTGAGTGTGGCCGACGAAGTCGGAAGCCGGAAAGTTTTGTTGGGCCTCCATGTTCTCCATGTAGGAACGGTGAAACACTCGTTGAACGTTAGGATTTGAATCGACCGGCTTTTCCTCCTCCGCCGCCGCCGCTCCCGGTGGCTGATTATGATTTGTTTTCTTATGCATTTTGGTCGGTGGACAATCAAATTGTAAAATAAGTTGAGGGAGTTGTGTTAAGAATTTTCTCAATTCTTATTGAAAAATGAACAAAAGAACTGATGGAATGGAAATTTGGTGAAAGTGGAGAACAATTGCACAAGGTGTCGTTAGGTTACTTTAAAGACGTTCGAATTTCGAACGTGCAAGTTCATTGCTATGTTTTACGATGAAATTTACAAGAGAATATGTTACGATGACGGCAGCAACTCTAGGTTAATAAAAATCTAAGTCATTACCGGACTTACGTGACTCACCCAAATCAATATGCTATAGAGAAACGAAAGAACATAGATCAATAGATCAACACGTTAGTTACATTCCTTAGAGAACATGTTTGAACCCTTACTCAAACATTTCAGTTTCGTTCTTCATCATAGAAAAAAAAACATCCATTCCTGGATGGCAATTCATACAAGAACACAGCTATGGAAAATAAATCACGAGGAAGGACGACTATTTCGCTTCCTCGGTGTCGCCTGTAAAACATTCATCATGACAGCAACTGAGGGATGAAAATCGAGATACATATGCGTAAATTACACAAGACAGTTTCCTTTGATCGCATTTGAAAATAGAGCTATCAATGGATTTGAAACCAAACTGATCCCGAAGGTGAAAGGGACGGGACGAGACGATCATTATAGAGACTCCAAACAAACTTCGAACGAAAACCTTGGATGCAAAGAATCACATATCTGAATCAATCTCCCCAAACAAGACCAAGAACAAGCAAGCAGACCCAGAAAGAAGGCAAGAACACCAAAAGTCTCCCCCAACAAGGCAGAGTGGAAAAGATGAGACAGCAGTTGCCAAACTCATCAAGAGCTTCCAAACAACGTGCCGAGCATTTTAGCACGAAATACCCCTCGACCATAAGCCAGCAGGACGTATTCGTAGATTAAGTGAGAGTTTATGAACAAATTTGCTTGAGCATCCCAAAGGCTTTGGGTAAATTTTAAGTTTAAAGCGCCCAATTAACAAGAAACTGTATTATGCACCCAATAAGACCATATAAACGAAGCATGCTGCCAAAAAGTTCACGACATCAATATAACACGACATAAAGGTGATAGTTCATATTAGGACAGTAAGGCTGAAAGAAGTGCAATTACCTGTAAGACAATGGGAACAACGTTCTGTCAAAGTTTCCGGGTCAGGACACAGATCTCTAGTAGCAGCTTACCGAAAGCCAGGTCCTCTCGATACCCATCGAACATCAAAAACCAGGTCTAGTTGTATACTAAAAGAAAATTTTCTAGATGAAATGTGCAGCAGTTTATGCAATTCCCTGTGTATGTGTTCATAAGTAATCCAGCAGCTACAAGGGCACTCAAAGACCATAAAACCAGATTTGAATGAATATGTCAAGAACACATTAGATACCACACCACTGTACCATGATACCAAATTCATCACATAGGAACACAAACATCTCAATATTAACGTCAAATTCTGCTCTTCAGAACTCTGAACTGTAAGAGAGACAATCTGTAGAAAGAAACAATAACAGCAAGATCCCACCATATAAGCTTCATTTAATGTGGAAACAACACGAGTAATCAGTACGAGGCAGCTATAAGAACCAGTGAAGTTAAGATGACTACACACCCCAACAGATAAGTCACAATTCTATCCAGAACGAGAACCACCAGAACCACGTCGCTCATATGGCCCAGAGCGGTCACGACTATATCGATCATTTCCTGAACCTCCTCGATCACCGGTACTACCCCGATTGCGCCCACCAGATCTATCTCCATTTCTATCTGGACCATATCGACCACTGCCACCACCACCACTACCATATCTGTCATCCCTACTTCCATATCTACCTCCTCTACCACCTTCACTGGGACATTCCCTAGCAAAATGTCCAGGCTTCCCGCATTTAAAGCAATCTCCACCGTTAGATCCACGTCCACCTCCAAAATCCCGACCTCGATCACGACCACGTGGACGATCACCATCATGATCTTTACCTGAACCTTGGTTTGGCTGAGCCTTATCAACTGTAATAGTCCGGCCATCTAAATCAATTCCATTCATGCCTTTGATTGCCTCTTCCATAGCTTTTTTCTCATCAAAAGTGACAAATCCAAAACCACGAGAACGTCCAGAAAACTTGTCAACAACTACCTGTGAAATGGATGATGCATTATCAAAATCACAGGTGACTATGGAAAATCCTAAGGAACAGAGACCTTAAGCTATCATCCAAATTATCAAATGCAACAAGCACCAACCTTACATTTTTCACATTTCTATCTACAAACACGGATCAATACAAGAATGAAGAATCATTATTCAAGGAGCAGCAAGCAATATCCATCCGGAGTAAGAAAATTGGAGGACTCACATTCCAGCAGAAAGAATTAAGACTATAATCAGCTAAAAAAGGATGACAGAAGAGTAAGCGCAAGAAAAACAAATCAGATACCTTGGCCTCGAGAAGATGGCCAAACTTTTCAAACGCATCTTTCAAACCTCTGTCAGATGTTGACCAAGAAAGGCCGCCAATAAAACAGCGATACTCCACCTCTTCCGCCATTATGCAAGCTTCATCGAAGAGCCATAGTCAAATCAATTGAATTTCCCGAAGTGGGAAGAGTGGCGAACAATTCGAAAAACCCCGAGATTAAAAGAAAACGCAAGTAACTCATTGAAATCCAACGGATTTAAAACAGAAGAAAATACTCAAAAACTTTCTCGATCCGAAGAATCAAAATAGCACAATTAACCTGATTAAGCAATTGGATACATATCAATTCGATACTCTTATCCAGATAAATTGAATTATCAGAATCATAAAATGTAAAGAGAGAAAAGAATTACCAGAATTACGCTAACAATTTCTGAAGAACAAAAGCCTTACGAATTCGATTCGCTATCGAGAGAAGCTACAAGAATCAAAAAAATCTAAGAGCCGAAGTGACGGTGAGATTGTTAAACGGGTTGTAGGCCGAAGAGCTAGCCATCGAATTGAAGGCCTTCGCGGGTGCATTGATTTATGAATCTTCACGGTGGGTCATTTTAGTGGGCTCCCCTTACTTTATTGGGCCTAATGGGTAGGCCCAAATTAAATTTCCCTTGTGGTGATAAAAACTAATTATCATTTATTTAATTATCTTGAAGTCCCAAAATTATTATACATCATTAAATATTTTCTACCAATTATGATTTAACTATAATAATAAAAATTTAATATAGTGGATCTTAAATAATTTTAAAAAATAATAAATCAATATTACTTTCATTTATATATATATATTTTCCGAGTTAATTTAGAAACTATTTAATATATATATATATATATACTCTAGAATGATTTTTAATTTTATGGTACTTTAACGAGGAATATCAAGTATTATCGTAGAGCAGATACAATATTTCTTTCGTAAATTGAGTAAATGTAAACCAAACGTATATTATAATAACTTTTATTCGTATAATATTTAGTTAAAACGAGCTTTTTGTAAGTGTGACCCATCATTTTACATATTACATGTTTATCCTAACAAGTGTATCTTTCTCAGGAGTTAGTTGTCAACTTCTCCCTACCCGATAGTTATATGCAGTACGTCGTGTTGTTGCATTTTGCTTACATTTCCATATAACACCAATTTCAATGCACCCGCGGATTGTCTAAAACTTTCTTATTGAACCGGGGCAACTTTCTTATTGGTCGTAGGCAACACAAGAACGAATAAGCTTAACCCCCAATTTTCTAAAACTTTCTTATTGAACCGGGCCAGAGCTCGAGCATACATCGCTTGGTCGTAGGCGACACCAGAACGAATAGGCTTAACCCCCAATTTTCTAAAACTTTCTTATTGAACCGGGGCCAGAGCTCGAGAGCATACGTTGCTTGATCATGGGAGACACAAGAATGAATAGGCTTAAATCACTTGTTGTCGGGAAATAAGTGCCGCACAATCGCAAGTTCACTGCCATGCCATGAAAGAGACATTTTAAAGCGCTTTACGTATAGGAATGGTGCAAAAGCAAAAGGGTCTTATAATACATTTAGAAATGGATCTGTAAACTTCATTCCCAAAATCTTAGCTTATGACCTTAGAATTTAAGCAACACAAGTAGATTCTTAAATGGAGAATATGATATTATATCCACTGATAATCAAGAATACACAATACTTTGCACAATAAAAGAAAATAACCACATTCCAAGTATTTATAATTATACCCAAACTATAACTATATACCACAGACTATATAACAAGGGTCTGGCAACTAACCAGTTCGGCCGACCCGACCGTTCGAGTGGCTATCACCTTTGTAGAGTTTTCTGATTCTTCTTCTAACTCGTGCACTTCGTGGAAGCAGATATCTTGCGAGGACGACGAGGACGACGACAATGCAGCCACATGGTGATTTCTCACACCGGCTTGCATAACGGTTATGTTGTTATTTGCATCTTTGGTGATGACATGAAGTTTCTGGGTTAACCCTGCGAGTAAATAAGGCGACTCTGAATCCGAAAAGTCGTGAATGGGAATGTCTTCTGCCACGACTTTCCAGACATCGGATTGCGAATCATACACCTTAACCTTGGCATTGTCGAGAGAACTAGAAGGATCCAATGCATAGAGTTCCCCGTTGACCGTTACGCTCAGTTTCGTTCCAGCTTGCCTTGCAGGCCATCCTTCGCCCATGCCCATCGGCATTTCGACCCAGGTATTCACGTCTGGGTCGTATACTTCTCCTCCAACGTCGACAAAGAAAGGCCAGCAGTATAGACTTTGAGGCACGAACAATTTGCCCTGATACGATGTTAGTCCTGTTGCAATTGGCTTGAGTAGATCGGCGAGAAATGCAGTAGGCAATACCTGAGCTTTAGCAAAAGGCATGCTTGGCACTTCAGACCACACGCCAGTATTCGGATCATATACTTCAGCAGATTGTAGGGGCGATAAACCACCGTTGCCCCTCGTGACCCCTCCGACGACATAAAGCTTGTTGTTTAAAACCGTGGTTTTACAATAGGCTCTACCGATCGACATAGGGTACGCTTCGTTCCATGCATTTGCAACAGGATCGTATCGCCAGACACACCTCATTGCTGAAGCGC